ACGAGAGAGAAAGGAAACCTCCTTTAGAGATCATTTTTACACTTATGTAGTTGAAAATGATCCAACTAGTTTTTTAGAGGGTACTAGTGTTCATGATACAACACATCGAGATAAGGTCATTAAAACTGAAATTGACTCAATCAAGAAAAATAATATTTGGACCTTAGTAGATTTTCCTAAGCAAAACCCATTATTTGTAAATAGATATTTAAGAAAAAGTATAATTCCAATGGATCCATTAATAAATACAAGACAAGATCAGTAGTAAAGGATTTTACTCAAAAATACCACATTGATTATTTTGATATTTTTGTCCTTATAACTAGGATTTCCTTTATTCAAGTTTTGTTAGCTTTAACAGCTATCCATAAGTTAATTATACACAAAATGGATGTTAAGACAACCTTTTTGAAAGGTGAATTAGAGGAGAAAATTTATATGACTCAAACTGAAAGGTGTGTTGTTCTTGGTTAAGAGAATAAATTGTATAAATTTTTAAAATCTTTGTATTGATTAAAACCGACACCAAAAGAGTGGCATAAAAAACTTGATAGTGTTCTACTTTGTGATGGTTTTTCAAATGATATTGATAAATGTGTGTACTCTAAATTTAAAAGTAGTGAATGTGTCATTATATATTTATATGTAGATGACATGCTAATATTTGGTACATACATTGACATAGTCTCTATAATTAAGTTACTTTCAGGATCTAAATTTAAAATGAAAGACATGGGTGAAACCAATGTGATTTTGGGACTTAGAATCATAAGGAAATGGGATAGTATTTTACTATCCCAATAACAATACATTAAGAAACTTCTTACGAATTTTGGGTATTATGACTTCAAATAAGTGAGTACATCTTATGATGCTAACTCTAAATTAAAGAAAAATAGAGGAGATTTTATTTCTCAACCTCTGCCCAAATAATTAGGAGCTTACTGTATTTAATGAACTTTTCTAGGCCTGACATTGTTTATGCAATAGGTAGACGAATAAGTACACTCAATTGAATATAATGGATTTCCTACTTTATTAGAAAGGTACATTCATGCTAAATGAATCTCTGGTTCTGATGTGACAAAATCCACTAATGGTTATGTATTTACACTTGAGGTGGTTTAATTACATAAATATCAGTCAGACAGACAATTATTGCAAGATCAACCATGAAATTAGAGTTTGTTGCTCTTGAAACGGTGAGTAGTGAAGCTGAGTGGTTGAAAATCTTCTTAGCAAATATTCCATTAGGGATGAAACCAACCCCTTCTTGTTAATATATTGTGATTATAAATCGGCAATAGTTATAGCTAAAAACAATCATTACAATAAAAATAATAGATATATACAATTGAGACACAATTTGGTGAAGCAGATACTAAAGAATGAAACAATTTTCATTGACTATATGAAGTTAGAATGAAATCTAGTAAATCCTCTAACGAAACCCCTAGGGAGACATGATTTTAGAAACATCAAGGGAAATGAGATACAAGCCACTTGCAAATAAACAAATTATGGTAACCTAACCTTTGTGATTGGAGATCTCATGAATAAGGTTCATATAGGCAAAAACAAGTCATTTGTTAATTCTGCTAGCACTAAAATTGATTGAAATCGATCAATGTCAATTCTTATGGTATGTGAAAGTGCTAGATACTACATCTTTGAGAAGTTAAACTTTGTAATTAAAATTTTATGTGGTCTATGAATTTTAACCTAAATAAAATTTGTAATGATTTCATATCCTTTACAGGTGGTGTATGATTTGCAGCAAACGCTTGATGAAATCACTTATATGAATGTCGAGTGAGGCCGCTTATATGAGATGTTTGCAAGATTTTTAGAGCACTAATGAATACTAGGAATGTGCATGGCCTAGTAAGTGCAACACAGCGATAATAATAAGAATTGTGGGAGTGTATTGTGATTGATAAAGCGATAACACATATTAAGTGTCTTTGATTCATCTAGTTTGTTATATTAACTACACTGTGTTAAGTTTCTCAATTTAAGTTTGGTTGATATAATTTGTTACACCAGCTCTAATGTTTTATATCTTAAATGAGACCCAAGATTTTCTCATTTCTATCCTTTTATGATGTCTTTTGCAATACGTGGAGATTGTTAGAAAAACAGAATATAACAAAAGAATCAAGCTCTCTTGCTTGATTTCCCTTGCATATTGGGTGTTTTTTTTTTAACCTTGCAAATTTGCAACCTTCCTCCTTACATGATCCTTGATTCTAGGTAAGTGGACATCCACAAATCATGAGAAAATGAGTTTATTCATGGATGTATCTCTCTTATAAATAGAACATTTTTCCTCCTTTGAAAATCACATATCTCACTTTATCTCATCTTCTCTTCCTTCTCATTTCTATTGTCATGCGTCATTAACTTTTTAAGAATTTTTTTCGCTAGTTGTAAGTTTATAAAAAAATATGAGAAGTTGCTATTATATACTGAAAAACTTCCACAACATATTGCTGATAAATTTTTTAGGATAATAATTATACATGCTTTAAGAATCAAGGTTTATTTATGTTCTTCGAAACTTTCACAACAAAAATGTTATCTTTCATTTACAAAAATATCATTGTATTTTTTTAAGTTGATTATTTTTTATTCACCAGAATTAGTTAACATAAAATGCCTTTTCTACCTTAGTAGGTGGTAAGTTTTTAAAATTTTAATATAATTAATTTTAAACTACTAGATTATTCAAAATAATGTAAATCACTTAATCTCAATTGCAACAGCTTGAGAAGTTAATTCTGATATATTGATGACTAACTCGACTATCGAAGAAATGCTAGTTTATTGTATCAAACAATAAATTAGAATCAAATGTTACAAAATTATCAACCCAAAAGTAAATATATAATTAAATAAATCAAAATATTATTCACTTCGTTTATTCGAAAACGTGAATCATATTGTGTTCAAATGCAATTCACCATCGACTACTATTCACTATCAATTTCATGATTCTATATTTTTAAGTCCCCAATAATTTGTATATGTATTCGTCATGCGACGTGACATGGCACTCCTTTTCTTTTTAAACTTTTATAATTGAAAAAAGTAATTAATATTTTTTTTACGCCAAGAGATGCATATATTTTCAAAAAATGATAAAAATACAAATTAATTACGCTTTTATCTTTTTATTGAAAGATTAACTCTTTTACGCCAAGCGATGCATATATCATATTATGTATAGTTTTTTATAGTTTTAATATTTTTCAAAAATTAAAATATACATTTATTATTTTTTGTTTATTTATAAACTCAATTATATAATATGAATAGGAAAAATAAATTCAGCGTTGATTTTATGATATTTGCAGATTTAGTAAATGATTATTTTAGAAAATAAATAAACACATGAAGTTAAATATTTTCATTAAAGAAACGGATAGGTTCTTGCAAGTTTTTTCTAATACTGATAAAGATAAGTTTGTGTTTTAATTATTGTTACATATAGATTTGTATTTTCCAAGTCCTTTTTTCCCTGAGAGTATAAATAAATAAAGATATTTAAATTAATTCCTAACTCTGATTTCTTAATTACTTGATACATATATATTTTTCATGTAGTGGTGTATCAATTAAGGAATTAATTTTAGTATAATCATACTTAAACAACAAAAATTATTTTCACTAATCTAATATTAACAATTTATTTTAATTACATAGTACTAGTTAAGATTCAGTTTTATTATACTCTCATTATATATATATATAGTAAAATTTAATGTAAATGATTAAAATCATTTTGTTTAATTAACCATTCATTTTAAATATATGATAAATACGACTGTGCTAGCTTTTTTATAGATTAAAATTAATTTATTAATGAATTAAAAATAAAAATTTATGAATATATGATTTTTTTTACAAACTAACTTATGCATAAACTAATTTTAAGTTATAAAAAAATCAATTACATTTTTTTATGAAAACTTTTTGTCGAAATAAATCGCATGTAGCCTAAATCCTAAACCCTATATTCTTGTAGTTTAACATGTCACCTAATACACGTAAATACAACAACATCTACAATGTAATAGTCTTATATATCACTTTAAATAATATCATTTAAAAAAATTACATTATAATTTTACGATCTTTAATAAAATAATAAAGTTTTATAATAATTCATACGTTGATAATTTTTTATTTATACTTCATTATTTACAACTTTAAAAAAGTATTTTAATTATTAAACTTTTTTATTATTATTAAAACATAGGGTCTTAAAGATCCAATTCTTAAATTTTAAATTCTACTATCACATTAGTCCATTTTAATGAGAGTTCTTTTTAAAACTTAATCATTAAATCTAAGACCCTTGTTTCGAATTTTTTTCTAGATTTTAAGTTCATCAATTCATTTTGATTATAATGAGAAAAGGTAATCTTAGATATTCACTTTTTTTTACTAAAAATTGGTCATTAAAATAGAAAAATAAAATGACAGAATTTTTCAGTTACTAAATTTCATTACTATTTCGTTTAATGTTTTTTGGACAGAACATCACTTTAATTATGGATAAAAACAACATCATTGATATTTATTACACACTATTTTTTTATTCTTTTAACATATCCCTTTAACAAAAACGAATTGAAACAAAAATCGTTTCCTCCAAACAATAAAGTATAAAGAAAACAGTACATATCACATTCATAAGTGTGAAAATAAAACAACTGCTTAAGTTGAATCTAGTCTTCTTCTTCAATGAACACAGCCACTATTTTTAATTAGCACATGCAAATGTCAAATCATTGCTCCACCAAAACACTTTCCTCTTCCGTCTATCTTTATAAACCCTCCACTCCAATTCATGATTACCTTACTACAACTCTACCTATGCTCTCTAGAGTCCCGATTCTCATGCTCCTATTCTATTGCCACATAAATTTTCCTCTTCCACTCCCAATTACTCAATTAATTTCTCTTATTATCAACACCAAAACTCACAATCTACCATGACTTTTGAGATCCAATCCCCTTTTTCATTTCAATCTTCATCTCCCATTTCCCAATCATCATCATGCACACCACCTAATGATGATAACACTAACCTATTTTCACAACCTTTAGTGCATGCACAATTTGCAGTATCACACAAAAGGAAAGGGGGGAGAAAGAAGTTCAAGGAAACTAGACACCCCATTTATAGGGGTGTCCGACAAAGGAAGGGAAAGTGGGTTTGTGAGCTTAGGGAACCCAAGAAGACCACTAGGATTTGGTTAGGGACATACCCTACACCTGAAATGGCAGCTAGGGCACATGATGTGGGTGCCCTAGCCATTAGGGGCGCCTCAGCGATTCTAAACTTTCCAAACTCAGCTTCTCTTCTTCCACTCGTTAACTCCTCTTCACCTAAAGAAATTCGAGCTGCTGCAGTAGAAGCTGCCGAGAGTTTCAGACCAATCACCCCTTCTCATCACCAGAAAACTAGTCGCAAAGCTAAGTGCAGAAGAGTTAAAAAGGTTCCACCAATGGAGGAAAAGACGCAGGAAACAGTTCTGGACTCGTCCATGAATAGCATGCACGATTTGGATCGTGAAAATTGTGATTTTATCAACAGTGGCTCGGAGAAAAACATTTCTGATTTGTCTTCAACTGTGTTCTTCGACGAGGAGGCATTGTTTAACATGCCGAGTCTCTTGGATAGAATGGCAGAGAGTTTATGTCTTTTTCCACTTCCTTCAGTGGATTATTGGGACGATCAATCTTATTTCACATACTTCAATTTATGGACTGATTGATCAATGAACTCATTTCGAATTTGGTGCAACTGTGGAATGAAACAAGATGCATGTGCTTAATTGTTGTTGAGGCTGATTTTGAGTTGTAAATTCCTCATTCAAGTACATCTCCGAAGTTCAATGTTATTCATACATTCAAATTTCATCACCCGTTGCTCTGCATTGTAATGTAACTGGGATTAATAAACATATGAATCGTTTTTGTGATGGATTTATGTTGATAGAATTAATTATGAACATAATTTTTTAATAAAATCTGATATTATTTCAGGTTTAGGGTTTATGATTTATGATTTTAAATTCAAAATAAATAGTTTGGCGAATTTTTTTACACCAAATTAATTATTACTTATATTCAAAATATTTTAAAAACATATGACAATTTTTTTTTTGATATAATATTCTATTATATTATTAAATAAAAATCATAATATAAAAGTTTAGGAAAATTGGATTATTTCCATATCAGTATTCTTTTGAGGATTTATTATTATTATTATTCTCTTGAAAAATGATTTTTATTGGTTAAACACTGGCAAATTAATGGTGTCATCTTAACTCATACAATTATTACCTGGTGACTTGACAGAAAATGGAAACAATCTTTTACTATTACTTTCAATATTTTAAATAGGTGTAGATTGAAGTTAGTTATAACATGAATTTTTTATTATTTAAAAAAAATTGTTAATCCTTTTTTATTTTAATTTTTTCATTTAAAATTATTTTTTTCTTTACAATAAATATAAATAATATATATAATTGATAAAAAAAGTATTAATATATTCTTAAATTGATGTGATTAAAGAAATTACATTACCCTACAAAATAGATGCAAATTTTTTAATTTATTTTTTCAATGTCATGCATGGCATCAATGGAAAATGTAGTGCACTAGATAGAACTAGTAAATTCAGTGTATGATTTTGAACTTCCACATTATTTGAATGCGGACTGAACCAAGGCAATATAAGAAAACAAGCTCATATAATTATTGCATCAAGATATTCTATAAAATTAATCATGTGATGTTGTCTTTTACATATTTCAATAATACACGTCACTCTAACAAAAATAATAATAATAATAATAATAATAATAATAATAATAATAATAATAATAATAATAATACACGTCCACTGTTTGAGATAGAAGTAAAAAAATAAATAAAAGAAAAGCGTAAAATAAGATTTGCAATTCGATTAATTGAGATGACTACAAAAAATATTCTAAAGTTTGTAGTATGAATAATATAAGAAAAAATTGGAATTAATTCATTGTTTCTCTCTCTATATATATATTACTATTACAACTTAATTACACTATAAGAAAGTTATATAATAAACATGATTTAAAAACTGAAAATATTAGTTATTATATATAGAGACTAATATAGAAAAGTTTAGAAACTAAAAGCATTTAATCTTAGGCATAGTTATTATGAAAAATACATTATTGTTATATAATGAAATTTTAATCGTGGAAAACTATATTTATGTAACTAAATACTGTTATCTTGGTCTCTAGTTAATTATAATAAGAGAGAAAAAAATTCAGTCGTTATTTATTTATCTTTAATCTATTTTCTTGCTTTCAAAACTATTTTTTACAACAATTTTTTAATTGAATATGATGTTAAAATTGTGAAATCTGAGATGAGAAAATTATTGTCGTGTTTCTTATGGGAAAATGTATGAATTTGACTTATGAAAAAAACCAATCAATCATGCAGTGGTTTGGTCTGTTTAATGTGCAAAATTAGCTATTCACTAAAGATAGTTAATTATAATTTTGTTGAAAATTTTTGGTTAACTATCATTATCTTATTGTTAGTTGCTTGTGGTGTGATTATACATATAGTGCCATAAATTTAATATTATTTTCTGAATTTAATATATTAAATAACGAATAAACATGACAATAACGGGTATTTAATATTTAAACCTCGTTTGACTAATATGGATTCTTTTCCCGTTTAAATTATTTTTTTCTGGTGCATCCGTGGATTTAAGAAAATAAAATATAAATTTTTTCATGATTAAATTATTATTCTTTCCTTGTATTTATCAACTAATATTGTTTAATTAAATAAAAATTATAATGGAATTAATAATTATGTATATTTGATAATAAAGAAAGAAAGCTGTGAGAAAAAAAACGAAAGTAAAATAAAATAAAATAAAAATATTCTTATTTATTTAAAATAAATATGACATAAAAAAATTATTTAAAAAAATAATAAATAATTAAATATTTATTTAATTATAAAATTACTGGTATAATTATTGATTTTTTATTAATAAGATATATTTTTAAAATAATATCTCTAAATTATATATATATATTTTTTTTGACATATAATTATAAAATTATTTTTTAAAATTATTCAAAATTAAATTAATAAAATAATATCATATTACAGATAAATAAGAATATATATATATAAAGTTATATATTTTATTTTATAATATTTTTTTATGATATTTTATTAAAATTATATATATATACATATATATATATATATATATATCATAAACATACAAATAAATAATTATTTATTTATGTGGAAATAATTTTATAAAATAACATTTTTATTTTACTTTTCAAAAAAAAAAAATTACTCATGTAACTAAACAGAAAGTGATGCTTTCTCTTTATTATTTTTTTTGTTATTAAATAAAAAAATTATATTCTAATCAAATATTATTTTATTTATTTTTTTATATTTATATATGACAGTAAGTTTTGTAAAACAATTTGTAATATAAAGAAATCAATCAAATCACAGTTATATTTTATTGTTCAAATCCATATTTGTAATTATTGAAGGTAAATTATCATGAAAAATTATACTTATCAAATAGCTATATTAACATAAATAATAAATGGAAATGAATTTATTTACTCTAAAAAGATTACTTACTTTTTATTTTTATTATTCATTTTTTCCAATATAATAATTAAGATAAAAGAAAACAAAGTTGCTTGGTCACATCAATTAGCGGAATCTTGTTTAAGAAACCTGTTTGGTTTACTTTTAAAGTAGTTTCATTTCATTTAATTTCAGTTGAATTTTAAAAGAGACTAGTTTGAAAAGTATGGCTCTTATCACACTCTTTACAAAATCCATATTTCAAAGATGATATTCATCTATAATCCCAACCTCACATTTACTATATAATTTGTATGTGAAAATTAGGATTATTTCTGTATTGATCTTAAAAATAGTTTTTATCTTTTTAGTTTTTAAAATTAAAAAGCTTGATATCTATTTTATAAAAATTGTTTTTTATTTTTTAAAAATTAAAATTTAAAATTGATAATGTGTCTTTTTTATTAATAATATTCGTGCTTTTAACAGTACTCATTATCTTATAATTATCGTTTTCCCATTTTTACCATATTCTTCGTTGATGTTGTTTTTATTCGTTTAAAATAAATTCTGAATTATAATTATCAATATTTTTAAAAATTAAAAAATAAAACTAAAGTGACCCTTATTGTTATGTTTGAATAGAAATATTAAAATGACTCAATACCTTATAAATTCACAACACTTTATTTTTGTTCCTCCTTGATTTCTTCCTTCACCTATTGTACCTTTATATTTATCTTCAATTATTTTGAATTTGTATTAATTTTTCACCACGTATAATTTGTGCGCAACAAGATTTTTAGTTAAAAACTGGAGTAGAGATTGGGAATACATTTCTGAATAAGATTTCCCAAAAACATGCTTTGGAAAATGGGTTCTAGAAGATATATCTTCAAATAAAATATTTCACAAGTGTATTTTAGACTACCAATTTACAACCTATTTATAAAAAATCAATTCCAAAAATATATTTCGAAACCTACTTTTTGAAACATGTTTATGAAGATGTTGTTTTAGAATCCATTTTTTGGATTGGCTTTTCCAAAAACGTATTTTGTAATATCCAATCCAAAATATATTTTTAAATTGATTTTTTTAGAAATGCATTTCAGATTGAGTGTTCTAAAACTTAATCTGATTTTCACAAAAATGTTTCAGAATGAGTAATTTTAATGCAAAAAATATGTAATAGGTATATAATATTAATGATTACTCATCTTTAAACATTCAAAACAATCTTAGAGGTAATGACATAAAAAATTAAATCTACATATATATGAAGGTGTAGAAGATAAGCAGTGAAGGTGCAAAACAAAAGCAGGAAAATAAAAGAAGGTCTTAGGGTATGAAACAAAATTTATTAGAAGAGTATTTTAGTTATTTTACTTGAAGTATGGAGGTTCAAGAAGAAATAATGGAGGTGTGGAAAAATATTATGGAGACACAGGAAGAAAGTGACTAAATTCACATACAGAAGGCTTGGAGAATTTGGACCCAAAATTTCTCTTTAGAAGTAAGAAAAAAAAAGGCCGATTAATGTTTCGTTTATATTTCTTTGTTTATACCACCTCCGTTTTTGTTGTCTGTCACCTCTAAAAATAAATATTTTCAATAAAACATGATTTTTTTTTATTCAATTATATCTTTATCAGGAAAGTGAAAGAAATAGTAATAATATGTCATTATTCGTATTTCTTAATGTATCGATAATTTTTAACGATAGAAAATAAAATTGCCATGTGTAATAGAGCAATACTGAGCCGTTAGTGTTTGGGTTTTCTTTCATGCGTGTTAAAAAGACTACTACATCGATGCAGTGAAAAATTTGAAAAATTTGATTTCTGTTTATACTTATTTTATTTCATAAAAAATTTATTTTGATGGTTATATATTTTTTAAATCTGTCTTCCCTCTTGTATTTTTACGATTATGAATTCAATTTTTTAACTATTGAAAATATATAATTTTGATATTTGGTATTTTTTATATCTAAATTCAATATTTAATAATTATGTTTATCATTATAAAAGTGATAAAAGACTAAATTAAAAAAATAAATTTGATTTTAATATTTTTTTATAGTTAAATTTACTAATAATTTTCTACCGTCACAAAATAAAAAATTATTGAAAATGACTAAAATCAAATAGTTTTAAAGCTTAAAGATTGATTAGTCAATTTTTTAAAATATAAAAATCTGAAAAAATTTGACAAATAAAAAAACAAAAATATCTTTAACCTTAAAATAAGTTATGGATCACAAAATAAATTTTCTCAAATCATTAAACACTTTTCTAATATAATTATAAAAGTGTCATTAAGGATTTCACAAATTTTGAACTATTGTAACTGTTTAATCCTAGATTTGATTTGATATAGTGTTGAATATATATGAAAGTAAATATATATATATATATATATATATATATATATATATTTGGTAGTCATGATTTTTATGGTTTGTCTAACTATTATGGTTTCTGAGTGATAAGATAAATGTAGTCATGATCCTTAGTTCTCATTGTATTTTTCAAGTTTATACACTGTGCTAATGTGTGTGAAAAGGAGAACATAACATTCTCTTAGGTAAGAAATAACTGCTGAATAACATACGCAGTCAAAGAACATCTATTGAAGGATGATACCTATATATATATACTATTGCTAGATTCCTAACATATCTTTGCATTTGTTGAGAACACAGGTGAAAGAGGATGTGCCAGAATAGTAGGATCATTGTTTCTACCTAACAATGTTATTTCTATCTTTTACCATGCAGCAGAGCGGTGGCAATCATTGAATCTTGCGTGTGGATTAGAGAATTCAGGGACCAAGGAATCAAAAACACATGTCATGAATTTTTAGGACATTGTACTAGACTAGACCATCATATAATGAAAGGTGCCACTATTCCACCAAGGACAATAACATTATTTAAAATGTTTAAGCTTGATCTTAATGATTCTGACATGAAAGTGTGACCCAACTTTGCCTAACTATTTTCCTTCTGAACTTGTTCATGCCTGAATTTGATACAACGAGCTTGATTATGCTTAAATTGCTTTGAAAAACAAGTGGAACTAAATCATACCTTGTCCAGTGCTTGTTTCCACAGTGTATGGTTATCATTTTCTAGAGCCTATAGAGTGAACAACTACAAACAAAATTGTAAAGGACAAGATAGAATAATGTGGTTTCAATTCATTTACAAGATTCTCAACTTTATTCACCTGTAAAGTCTAAAAGCAACTCAATTATGCCAACCAAGATCTCATTTCCATTTTACCAAATCTTCACTGATATTCATGTCTTAATCCTAGAACTCTTTTTCAGATTCTCTTAAAAAAATTATAACTCATTTGTGCTGCTTTTTCCTACCAAGTTTGGTAGAAATCCAGTACCAGACACTTTCTCAAAGAACCAACAGTCAAAGGAAGTATCAGTACACCAGGTCCCGAGGGGAAAAAAACAGAGAAACAGAGGTCACATGCTCAACCAACTATTCTGATTATATCACTAAAATTTCTGCGACTCAGAATTATTTTCTTTCTGTTTCCTATGATAAAAAATAATTAGTATGTATCCTTTCAACAAGAAAGGGGAAAGGAAAAACAAAGTCAAAGCAAGAATTGAAAAAAAAAAAATAGACAAGAAATGAAAAAGATGTTAAAAAATTTAAAATGAACATGTTGCTTATCTCAACAATTAGTCTCTTGAGTTCGAGATTGTGTTCTTAGTATACAGTTGTGTTGAATACTCGAACAAGATTGTGTCCTGTGAAAGATAGTTTCCTCATGTGCTTTTACATGCGTAGATCAACAAGGAGAATTCAACTCTATCTTTATCTTTCTGTGCAATCTTTTCTTCTAACCACAATCTGCTATCCAAGCCACTTCTGGTCCTGAACATGAACACTGCATACCCAGAAGCAGGGTTGAAAAACCAGTTATGAACATCCCAAAGCAAATCCACCAGCAACCCATCAACGAAAATCGTTTGGTTGCCCCTGAAATTCCACTGCAGCCTCTTCACACGGATCACCGTTTTCTTGTCAATGCAAACGGACAAAACAGGAGCCTTGAGACCCTCATGCTCCCCACTGCATCGGATCAAAATGTCATGCCAAGTTCCAGTGTCACAGAACTGAGCCTTGGTGGCGTAAACCGCGTTGCCAGAGCAATGTTCGCGCCGTGACAACAGCGACACTTTGGCCAAAAGGGTTCTCGTTTTGAACTTCTTCACCGCATCATCTTCCCCCAGAACGAGACCTATTTCTGCATCAACTAGAATCGCCACATAAAATCCTTCAACAGGTTCCGGACCAGTGTTGTACTTGGCCCTGGAGAGATCCCAGAAGACTTCAACCTTAGAGTCTTCCGATTCTAGGACCTTGCTTCCTTTCTTTTTCCTGAAAAACCGTGAATTTGTGTTGAGTCTGAAAGATGGTGCCAAAGGGTTCTCTTCCCCGAAGGTTATGGTGAGTCCTTGGTTGGAGTGGGTCTTGCACCACGTGACTGTGATGAGAATCTGCTTTTGGTTGGAGAGGGTGGTTTTGTAGACAGAAGAAACTGAGTTTTGTGTTGAAGGTGTAAAACTGGGAGATATGCACGCGTTGTTTGAGTAGCTAGAACACGAAGAGTGTGACACATTCACTGCATTCTCATTGAAACAAGATATTATATCTGACATATTCATTTTGCATAATAGAGGTTGAGATCTGATGTTTTGGACTAAAGGGGTGGTGTGTGTGCCTTTTGATTTTCAGAATCTAAGGAGAAACCATGAGCTCGGAGAATGGATTTGAAGTGTGTTTGTGTTGGTTTAAGGGGTAGGAAAAGCGGGGAAGAAAAATCAACCAGAGAGGGAAGGGAAAAGAAGAAAGAGAAGACAATGTTGACCATTACCATTTATTTTTCATCAACATGGCTTCCTTTACTCTCTTGCCATAAAATATATACCTATATCTACAAACAATGACAATAGCATATGATAATTAATTAACATGAGGAAAGGAATAGAAGTATGATACACAAACCTAGGTGAGGTGCTTTTTTAATCTCTTTTGCCAGTTAATAGCTGCAATTATACTAGGGTAGTTACTTCATAATTTCAAAGTTGAAAAAAGATGGGAAAAGGCTTACCAAAAAGTTTATCCTTCTCCACCCTCTGTTCCTTTTTCAGTACTTTCTGTGACATCATCATGTTATGCTTTACAAAATAATTATTAACATTTGCATGATATTAGATACTTAAAAATAGAGATATGGAAGAATAAAAAGTGTAAACATGAAGCAATATCTTCGACAAGAAGATGAAGACAGATAGAAATAAAGAGTGTCCTAGAATTATTATGTTCTTTAATACTGTACCATTTTCCACCTCGGATTTCACATTTAATTAAGAATCCAAGTGGGAAATGTGTCAGTAGTTTACTACCTAAGGCTTTGTTTGGAAGGAGTGATTTGAGATAATGGAAATGAGAGAGTGGAAAAGGAAGGATTTGAAGAGAAATGGAGATGATTGAAAAGTGAAAGGAAAGTTTATGGGAAATTGTGAATGATTTGATTGATATGAGATATAAAAATTATAATTTTATGTTTATTATTTAAGAAAATTACCATTTTACCCTTTGTATCAAATAAGGTTCAAATGATTATAAATATAATTTTTTAATTAATTATCCATATTTTAACATTGATTATATATTTAAAAGAAAAAACAAATTTAAAAGTGTTTGTAATTGGAAACAAATTTAAAAAATTAACTTTTTTTAGATAGTTATTAAAAATTATATAAATAAACAATTACAAAATTATGTACATTGCATATTCATATTCAAATAATGTTGACATATTAAATAAATTATTTGACTAATAATTAAATAATTATAAAATATAAAATAATAATTAATATTGATCTGATAATAACAAATAATTATGAAAACTAATAATATAATTGTACATTATTATTTAAAACAAATATAAAATACAGTGAAAATAGAATAATAATTAAAGGAAAGATTACTAAAATTATAAATCTATGCACACTAATGTTCTTCAAACAAATAATTATAATGTTATCCATCTTTTGCAGTCAAGTCCTCCAGTTCAGATCATTCAATCACCTCCATTCAAGAACATGAACAACTGGGAGAGACGAAGATGTGAGGGCAAGCCAAAAAGTCGTCTAACATGTGATGGGTGAGTACACAAATGATTATAACACTGAAGCATAAGTTGCTCGTCATTTCTGCGTTCAATGGCGACCACCTGTCTTTCAGCTATGTCAGATAATCGTTGGGTGATTGTATTACCTTGCCCGAGGTAATCTGTAAATGTGTCCAGCCTCGATGTTAGTTTTTCAAATTGACCTTCCATCACATCAACCATAGGCGCTTTTCTTTTTGTGCCCCGAGATGAAGAGGTTCCACCTGAACCAGTAGACGCAGCAGATGGAATTGAGTGAGCACCCTCAGCAGGACTGTCGGAACCCATGCGTGGAGGTGATCGATAAGCTGTATCAAATCCTGCATCAAAGCCAAAGTGAAATGGCTGCTCCTCTGGTGTGGGGTCCACATCAACGTTCAAGTCGACTGTTGCCCTTCGAGAACTGATATTCATTCGGGCCTGACGCGAAGTTCTTGCCATATGTCCACTGGCTCGATCAGCACCCCACAATTCTTCCATCAAATCATAATGTCTTATAGTTGCCAGTTTTCATTTAGCTGCAGAAGGCTTCGCCTACAAAATAATGAGAATGGTTAACACTCGTAATTGGTATGTTTTGCTATATCAACAAATGATAATTCATATAATAGTACCTCAATTAGGTCATCCCATACTTCTTGCTCAGCCACAAACCGTTTTGTCATATCATCCCAAGCGAATCCACTAAGTCCATGAAACAAATCGTGGACCTCCCACCATCTATCCTTAAGACTTTTTTGTCGATTTTTAACATTATTTTTAGTTATACCAATTAATCCAGACTGTCTTAGGGATTCAACTATATTCTTATATGCTTGGGTTGTCCAACTACCATCAACCCGATTACCCAACCTTGCCTCATCAAGCATAGCAGTCAACAACCGAAAGTCCATGTCATCAGTCCATTTTGTAAACTCGCGTACTACAGGTGACGAATCCGGTGCAATATCCTTTCCTCTGTTCATTTTAAACCTATTGGAAAGATAATATATGTAATTACGATACCAACATATAATTATTATAAATAGATAATCGTAATGTAATCGTATTTCAACAATAACAATAGTACATCTTATTAAATATATTATTATATACAAAATCTAATGACTTTGATAATCTATCCACATTTGATTTGCTATAGTATCTCTTAAGTTTGACCCTTCCCTATAATCCTCTTCCCGAACTTGAGTCGACATATTATCCACATCTTGTTCCATCAACTCTCGATCCACTTCAGCTAACAGTGATTCATCGTTGTCTATCCCTCGAAGAAAATTGTGTAGAATGCAACATGCTAGGACTATATTCGTCATTGTATCAAATGAATAATGAGGCTCTGTTCCACTAGCTATTATAGGAAATCTTTTCTTCAAAACTCCAAATGTTCTTTCAATGACATTTCTAAGAGACGAATGTCGATGGTTAAACAATTCTCGGGGTTTTGTGGAGCTCGTCGAGAATACTCTTTAAGGTGGTATCTAACGCCTCGATAAGGGGTCATTATGTTTGCTTTTAACATAAATCCAAGCATCCCCCAAGTAGTATTTACCTATTTAAAATCATTGAAGTTATACTAATTAGAATATTTAAACTAGTTGACTATACACAAAATCCGCATGTTATAAATAATAAACCTTGTGGTATGATAAGGCGATCCTCTCTCGTAAGAACATCCTTTAATATTCTTGAATCGAGATCTTGTTCCTTCCCACCCTGCTAGAACATATGTGAATTTCATGTCGAAATCACAAGCTGCAAATACGTTTTGTGTTGGCCAATCTTTTCACTACAAGAAAATCGCAGATATCGAGCGGATATTTACCGACGGATTTGTAGCCGTCTGAAAATAATCATTACTGACTAAATTACCTAACTGGATATAGAATATTTGTGAAATTTGATGTTAACGATCGGATATATCCGTCGGTAAAATAATAATTAGTTATACGACGGATATATCAGGTCGATAAATCCGGTCTGTAATTTATTGATGAATTTACGAACGGATATATCCGTCGGTAAATCCGTCGATAATTTAACAATTAATTACCGACCGGATATATCCGTCGGTAAATTCATATGTAAATTAAAAATTATTTACTAACCGGATATATCCGTCGGTAAAATTATATAATATAATTTAATTATTCACTAATTAAAAAATAAATATTTTTATTTAATAATTTAATTTAATCATAATTAGATTAATTTATAATCATTTATTAAATTAAGTAATTTTAAAAATAAATATTTAATTATATATAAATATATGAAAATATATAAATATATAAAAATATATAAATATATAAATATATGAAAATATAAAAATATATAAATATAAAATATATAAATATATAAATATATAAATATAAAATATAAAAATATAAAAATATATAAAAATATATAAATATAAAATATATAAATATATAAATATATAAATATATAAATATATAAAATATAAAAATATATAAATATAAAAATATATAAAAATATATAAATATAAAATATATAAATATATAGATATATAAATATATAAAAATATATAAAAATATATAAAAATATATAAAAATATATATAAATATATATAAATATATAAAAATATATATAAATATATATAAATATATATAAATATATATAAATATATAAAAATATGTATAAATATATATAAATATATAAAAATATATATAAATATATAAATATATATATAAATATATATTAATATATATAAATATATATAAATATATATAAATGTATTTGTATATTTGTATATAAATATAATTTATTTGTAAATTGTTATCAAGAAATTCTAGTAGCTTAGTGGTTGGAGTATCGTACTCGACTCTAAGGATCGGGTTGAATCCTGCCAATGACATTTCTCTTAATCGATAATAATTCAAAGCTATAAAAATATAATATGGAGAAATAATTAGTAATAAATAATAAGAATATAAGAGGAGGAATAATTATCAACAATGAGCAATGTTAACAAATGTCCGATAGTCTTTCGGATATTGCAAAAATAATCTCATTTTTTGTAAGTAAAAATAATGTAATTTTTTCCTCTAAGATGACGGCTTGCAACAACAACATAACCAATGCACACACGAGACTCTTATGCATGCACACGAGACTCCAAAAACAAACGTACCAACCAAGTTTTATGTTCCAACCATGACGGAAGACACGGAACCATACTGGGGTGTTCCTCAGACAATATACCAAAAACAAACGTACCAACCAAGGTCACACCAAAGTTAATGGCCGCCGGCGAAGATCCAACCTACAACAGAGTAGCTTTGCTTTGCTTTGCTAGAGTCTTTTAGCTAGTCTTATGAGACTAGCTTTGCTTTATATAATACAATAACTTTCCCTGTAACTTCTATCAGCTGTGAACACGTGAAGTTGGCTGTACAGCCCGTGACCACTGCATGTACAGCCCGTGACCACTGCCTGTACAGCCCGTGACCACTGCATGTACAGCCCCTGACT